AGGCTTGTCACTACCCCAGTGTCCCCCATCCAGCCATCCCCAGGGGCAGCCAGTGTCTCCAGGCCCTGGAGCAATGGTGGTGACAGTCACTCAGTGTGTCCTCTCTGTTTGCCTTCCCACAGGCCAGCAGCAGCCACACTGCTCAGTGGTGTCTAGGCTGAGCCTTCATGAGGAAATCCAGAGATGGCCGGGGGGAAGATAGTCTTGGCTCTTACCCTGACAAAGATGGCGAAGAAGAGGTCGGTGCTGAGCTCCTGCACCCTCTTGGAAGCCATCTTCCGGTCGTTGCAGTGATCTGCCTGTCTCTGGATGGCCTCTTTCTCCATCTTGATGGGGGAGCTGGCACCTGGGAAGGGCACAAGTGACAATGATGTGCCCATGCTCCCTCCTGCTCCAGAGCCAGATGTCCAGCTCACCTCCGTGTCCCTGTTATTCAAGGGTACCCACATGCCAGGGAGCTGCCCCATGGGATGCAGACTCCAAGCACCCATCACCTGTGACAGGCAAGGCAGGAACCCTGTGCCGGGCACAGCCACCCCCTCCCCTCACAGCACCCAGAGCTGCTCTGCAAGCGGCTGGGCAGCACCCACCAAGCGAGGCAGAGAGGAGACGGTGCACGATGACATCAGCGTAGCGGCGGATGGGTGAGGTGAAGTGCGTGTAGAAGGGCACGTTCAGGGCGTAGTGGCGAAAGAGGGTCTCGTCCTCCAGGACGCCGGTGCAGAAGTAGAGAGCCATCTGAAAGGGGTGAGAAGCAAGGGAAGGGGGTGAGCAAGGATGGTGGCAGGACCCTGCATGAGGCTGGAGGGGTCTGTGTCTGTGAGACAGAGCTCCAGTAGCCAATGGTCCTTCACCTGCTGCTCAGTTTTGGCTGTGCAGGGACAAGGCGGGTGCTTCAGGAACTCAGCACAGAGCAAAGGGGGCAAAGCCACTGCAGGGAGCTGCTGGCTGCCAGCTGGCCCAGGCTGGCCCCAAGGATCGCACCAAATTTTATGTCACATAGGGGTTTAAGCAGCCTCCTGATTCTGCTCAGGCCCTGGGGCTCATTAGCCATCCCCCTGTCTTCCAGCAGAGAGCCCAGCCTCTCCTGCGCCCACCGTCCCAACAAGGGGAGCAGAGCAGCTCCCGTACCAGGCTCTTTGGTTCTGGGTGCGGCTGCAGGCTCTGCACACCCATCGCCCCTGCCTGGAGAGCACCAGCAGCTGGGATGAGCAGCTCCTCCGGTCACCGAGGAGGAGGAGGCAGCCCCGCTGAGATCCCCACTGCTTCATCCCAAGATGACAGCTGGGAAGCCGAGCGGCTGGACCGCCTGGCTAAACCAACACCCAGGCTGTGCTGCCCAGCAGCCTCTTTGGTGGGAACCTCTCCCGGCTGCTCTGCCCCTGTTATCCCACACGTTACAGCTTTTATTTTTACATCTGTGAAACACCAGCCCTCGGGGCTGGGAAAACAACAGGGCCTAAGCCCAGGCGGGGAGGGGAAGCTGTGCTGCGGGGTCATGGCACAGTGGCGATTGAACGAACCCATTTAAAAATAAGAGCAAGTGATTTTAAAAAAACAGGAGTAGCCAGCTCTGATTACAGAGCCGTCCTGGGATCCACAGTTTGGGCAGCTGTATCCTCCGTTCTCCAGCCCAGCGGCACAGCCAGCTCCTGCTGAGCAGCAACGCACTGATCCGGGCAAGTAAATAGAGCAGGTTAAAAAAAGCAGCATCGGTCCCGGCCTTATTATGAGACCCAAGAGCTGGGATAGGAGCTGTGGCGGCTGCCAACTTCCACAACCCAGAATTAAATTGTTTCTGATGGACTCTGTGAAGTACAGTCTCCACTCAATTAGCTCGGCTCCCACCGAACACAGCTCTGCATGGTCAGGCAGGGAGACACGCCGAGCGCTGGAGGCTGCTGTGGGAGAAGATCAGTGCCCTTGTGCAGACAGACAGCATGGAATTACAGGGGGTTTGCAGCACCCATGCCAGGCTCCTGGGCAAAAGGGGCAACAGTTCAGTGCAGGGCAACCCCTGCCTTGTTTTAAGTTAGAAAAGATGCTGAAGGTCCCGCGTTGCTTGCTGTTGCCTTGGGCATTTCTTCCTGATGGATGTGCTGGCCAAATCCAGCTGCTGCTGGGTCCAGCGGCATTTCTGACACCCTGTTGGCAGCTCATGACCCTCACCGAGGTTGGCATCAGCTTGGGTACCGCAGCAAAAATACCCCTCTGGGCTGCAGTAAGGTTACCCACTGCACGGAGTTCAGTCCAACACGTATCTGGTACCTGTCCTCGCCACCATGACATCAGCCTGGCATAAAGCAGATGTTTTCTCATTAACAGATTTGACTTACAAGTGGTCTCAAATCCCCAGGGTTTGCCACAACTCCCAGAGAACCGCGAGGAGCCTGGAAATAAATCAGCCCCAGTCAACCAGGGGCAGCTTTTGCTCTCATGGACAGATTGAATTCCCGAGTGACTGAGCTCCTGAAAAATGGTATGTCGCTGCTCCTTCATCTGTTACAAGGCTCCTGGCACGGCAAGCCAGGCGCTCCTCCAGACACACATATTACCAGTTGCTTCCCATCTCCCTCCTCCGAGAGGCTGATGTCTTGACCATCCAGCATGCAGCAAAGATGGAAGATGCAGGCTTGGCGCGACCATGGGTTAAACCTGTGGGCAGCTCCTTTTGGCTGATTTAACTGCAGCCTTGTCCCTGAAACATCAGCTTTATCACTGGGAACTGAGATGTATGCAGGGATATGGGTGACGACTCTGTGCTCCGGGCCCAGACGGTCTCTCCACGCCATCTGTCAGAGCGACGGCCCAGCCCTTGACACCGGCACAGGCCCCTGCGTGGCTGGGTTCTGCAGCTGCCAATGCTCAGATCTGTCCTCTCCCCAGTGAGGGACCATGGTGTCCAGGGACACTGGCACGATGGGGCCGATTCTCCCATCTGCTCTAATACTGGTGGCAGACAGCAAAAAAACCTCTTCCTAAGGAAAGCAGCTCTCTGCCCTTTCCGAGGGGCACTGACACGGCTTTGCACTACCCATCCTCTGCATTTAGCAGCAGGAACAATGGTGGGAATTGGAACTGCTCAGGATTTTAGGGAGCTGTGAGTCCACCCTGCAGCGAGCGTGGTCAGGGACGAGATACCACAGAGAGCAACACCAATATCTCTCGCCCCTGCAGTGCCACAGCCCTTCCTTATGGATCATATGGATCCGCTGCTGCAAGCACATCCTGGGTCATATTGGAAAGTGGCCCTAAAGACAGGAGGGGAGTGTCTGCTCACCTGGCTGATGGCTTTGGGCTAGTCTAAAAATCCATTTACAAGCTAAACAACAGTTCAGCAAATGGCCAATGGCATAAGCCCACCCCAGGATCAAGACAGATTTCTGCTTCTTCTGGCTCACATGCCACTTCCAATAACGAGAGCGCCCATCATGTGCGGCAATACCATCCTGCCAGGGAACACCAGCAGGCAGGAATGACATCAGACGGGAACGCCGCTCGCCATTCAGACACAGGCTGCCCTGCAGGGCTGATGGGCTCAGCTGTAAACCGGGTTTTGCCTGTTATGGGAGCGTGCCAGTCAGCAGGTCTGCCAGGCCTGAGAGGACTGCACAGCACACCTGAACACCCAGGCACCTTGGTCTTCTGACGATGAAATGAGTCTAGTTCCTAGAAACCATGTCTCGTGGAATATCTCTTTTAAAATTTCCTCTTTCTTTTTCCTCAAACTGTCTGGTATCTACTCCACAGAAGACTTCATCCCCAAAACCTTGATACCTCTTTCATGTATGAATCTAACGTGTTTTGCAACCAAGTCACACAGGACTAAATCTTAACAAGAGTCACTGGGATGTATCTCAAAGTGCACCCATCACTTCTCAGACCACAGCCGCAGGAGACCACAGAGGCAAAATCCCAGCAAATCAGTGGGTCCCAAAAAGCTCATCTCCTCCTTGGTGCCACTGCAGAACCAAGCTGTCTTCTCCTTGCTTATCCCTCTTGGCCCACATCTGGACTTGCTCCATGTGCTGCTGCTGGCAAAGCCCAGGCTTGCACCACAGTCAGCAGGACCAGAGGGACCCCAGGGGATGCATGTCACCGGTGTGTTCACTGTTAGCACCTTCCACCCAAAAAGGAAGATGTGACAGAAGGAAACAGGACAAGCCAAAGCAGGACACAGGATCTGGGACAACACAGCCAGCTCCAGAGGACGCTCCCTGCACTTTACAAAGCAGCACTCCTGAGGTGGACGCATACAGGAGTGGGTGATTTACTGAATGGCTCCAGCCCCCAATCCCATTTCCAAGCAAGCATTAAGTCACCAAAGTACAGCAGGACTTCAGGCAACTGCTAATGAGTAAATGGAGCAAATAAGCTAATTACAAGAATGACAGTCAAATGAGTGATGTTGGGAAGATGATTCATTCCTGCAGCGATAAGCAGGCCACAGTAAAGAGACCATTTCAGAACCATGCCCCTTCTCCCTGTGGCGTAGGGCTTCCCTCAGAAGAGGCTGTGCTATGCCCAGCTGCAAATGTAGAAAGGCAGATGCTTCACAAAAAACTTTTTTTTGATGGTGATAAGGATGCAAATAAGTATCCTGAGCTGCAGATGCACCAAACACAACAATCAGCCTCCATTGCAGAGACCTTCACAGACAATCTCTTGGTCTGGATGGAGACCAAAGGGTTTCCAGAGCTTCCCTGCTTCTAAGAGCACGTGCCTGGGTACGAGACTGTACTTACGGCCAGTCCCACACCCCTACATCATCCTCACTCTTGATTCCTTCTTTGGACCAGTTTGGATACCATGATACGAGGGAATGGCACAAACATGAACCGTGAGCCCAACACCAACTCTTCATGGAGCAGGCTGGGTCCTTGTTAGTCTGCTAACATCCCAACCAGTAGTAACAGGACACTGTGGAGGCTGAAGAGAGGTTCAGCCTGACCCTGCCATGCAGTGAAGCTCTGCATGGGGCTGGAGGCACTTGGGGAAGCTGCTGGCAGCCCCACAGTACTACGTTCAGTGGCCATTTGCTCTCCCTCTGTGTAACAACCGCCACAGTAATGCACAAGGGGCGAGGGTTGGAGGTGGAGTCACAGCAGACAGCTACAGCCAGACGTGTCCGATAACACAGTGCTGTTCTCACCTGCATGGGCCTGGAGAACATGTTGGTCAGCACTTCTTTCCTGGCTTCGGAGTATTTGTCAGCCCCAAATGTTTCATTTAAGCTTTTCTGGAGGAGAAAAGAGAGAGAGCATTCAGTCTTGGCAAGCGATGGAGGTAGGGGGACCCAGGCAGACCTTACTGGGACAAACAGCAGCTCATCAGAGCCAAATTCCTTCTTTTCCCTGCAAATCCCCTCGTAAACCAAAGAGCACACATGAAATTGGGCTTTGCTCTGGTCCCAGCAGCCCCGACAGGACTATACACACAGTCCCGAGCGCTGACCCACCTCCTGGGGTCAACGTCAGGGAGCACCCAGGGCACAGGGACCGCTGGCTCCGTCCCCAGACGTGCAGCGTGCGAGGGTGCCTGTAGCCCCTCTCCTGACCTGGGCCTGGCTCCCCTCCAGCTACTGAGAGCTTCAGCGCACGGACTAATGGGACTCTGGGGAGATGTGGATATGGGAGGTCACCGCCCGGGGCCAGCGGTGAGGAAGGGCTGGAGGGTTCAAAGTGCAGGAGAGGAGCTGAGTGCGCAGCCCTGTGTCTGCTGACATAGCCTCGGCGCAGCCAGCAAACGGGGAAAGCAGTCCCAGCCGACGGAGGGGCATGCAGGAGGCCAGTGGGGATGGGATTAACGGAGGATTATCCACAGTCCAGTTGCGGCGAGTAAAGAAAATCCTGGAACCTGTGCTGTGCTGTTCAGCTGGAGTTCAGCCTCAGGACACGCTCAGCGGAGGATCGGTCAGATACCTCCCGTGCTGGCTGCGTCTGACCTTTCCCAGCACCGCTCTCCAGTCCTTCCCAGTCACCCTGCTCCCCACCCTGCCCTCCCTGAGACCTTCAGCAACCCAGACAGAAACACCCCCTTGCAGAGTGTTTCCTGCAGCACAGAGCAAGAGTCCTGCCCAGGACCTGCTGAGGAGGCAGAGAAAGGAAACGAGGGTGTCCCAGCGAGTGCCCCTGCACGGAAACATCCTTCCCATTGCAGAGAGGGCAGCACTGGGGTCACCTGCAAGGTCCTCATCATCCTGCTCTGGGCTCTGTGCACAACATCGGCTGACCAGGACAGGCTGGGCCACCCTCGCCCAGTGCTTGTGGGGTCAAGAGGAAGCAAGAGAGGTGTTTTGTTTTGGCATGGGATAGTTGTCAGCTCTGCTTGGGCAGAGGGGGACAGGGAATAAACCACACGCTGCACCAAACATGCCATCGTGTAGCTGCCCCCGTGGCCCTGCTCCTCGCCAGGCCGGTGCACTCACATGCAGGGTCCCCGCGGTGCTGAAGTCAATGTCAAGGCCGACTTGGTTGCAAAACTCCATGAGGTCTTTCAGTAGCTTGGTCTGGGGTGGGGGGTGGCGGCGAAGCAGGGCCTGCTCAGGGAAGGAGCGGTAGATCTGATGGGCCACGGCCATGTTCGCGAGCAGCATGAACTCTTCCACCAGTCTGCAGCATGAGAAAAACAACCCCGGGGCCCCAGTCAGAGAGGGGAGTCCCCTGGGAAACCAAGCCAGACCATAGTGAAGGGAACTAATATGACAGGGGGGGACGGGGGAGCAGCTTGTAGTTGCTGTTATAAGCACAGATTAGGTGTGAGACTGCAGCAAATCCCCCCCCCAAATTCTCACTTTCTAGCTGAGGTTTCCCCAGGGACTCAGAGCACGTCGTCCTGCTGGTGCAGACAAGTAGAAGTCCATGATAAATTGACAGCTTAAATTAGGATAAAATAATCTCCCTTTAGGTCATTTTATCTCCTGAAACGCTCAACAAGCAAAACAAACGCTGTGCAAGAGATAGCATGGAAAACAAACACACACCGCTGTCTTCCCGGGCCAGAGAAAACAGTGTCTCGCTCGCTCCCCCATCCCGAGCTCGACATGTGTGGTCAAGCCCAGCCACCGAGCCCAGCCTTCGTGCCGGGCTTCCACCCAGAGCAAGATGCAGCACAGCCCCCGGGCAGGGCAAGCCACCGGCGCAGCTCGCTGCAGCATCCAGGCAGTGCAAGGACTCCGGGGGCTCCCTTGTGCAACCTGCAGAATGCTGGGGGTACCCCAGGCTGGGGTGAGCCCCTCCTTCCACCTCCAAATGTACACGCCTTGAATGGATATCTCCGGGGCTACACACTGCAAAGAAAAGCAATCCCGGCGCTAGAGATCATCTTTGGAGCATTATGGGTTGTGCTACCAGCTGTAGGGGTGTGCCACAGGAGACTTGTTTAACTGGGCTTAGATAAGCAGAGAGATGTGCTTAACTGGGCTTCCTGCTATTTGCTGCATGTATTCCCAGGGCTCCTAACTGGTGCTAATTGCCAAAAAAGATAATAGATTTACAGAAGTAACCTCATCCTCTGAGCAATGCCCGAGCGAGCTGTCACTGATTACGTTGGCTCAGCCCCGTTGCTCCTGCAGGCAAAGCAGCGATTTTGCAGGGCTGGCTGCGGGACCCGGGCTGGAGCTGGTGGTCCTGCAGCTCCTGGCCCCGGCCATCGCTGGGTGAGATGTGCAGGGTGATGTGCTCCTGGGGTACTTGCTACAGCAGCAATGTGTTCCCAGCCTGGAAGTACTTGCCAAGAACTCGAAAGAGAAAGGAAATAAAAGACAAGCCCAGAGGAGGAATAAGCACCTGACGGTGATAATCAGCAGTGGAAATGTTGATCTTTAATGGGAAGGAGCTCCCTTAATAAGAGCCTTGTGAGTTCTCCCAGAGCACGTTGTGCCAGAGGCAGGGAGGGCAGGAGGGACACCCTCGCGCATGGGCAGTGCGGGAAGGGGTGGGGAGCAGCACAGCCTAAGTGGGGCCGGGCCACCCACCCTGCCCTGAGACACCTGCCCATGGGCAGATGCTACCAGAAGGCCAAGGGCCAGGTCAGTGGGTGGGCAGTGCGCCCGCAGCCCTGCGTGGGAGCTCTGTACATGCTCCTGGCGGGTGACTTCCAAGAGGGTTGAGCCAAGCTGTTGCTGCTCCTGTGCAGCTAAGCCAGCAGATGGCAACATCGGTCCCTCTATGGCCACCGGCACTGGGGGGCTGCGGGACAGCATGGCCCAAGGGTGCTGGGCACCCTGGCTGTGCAGCACCCAGGGGTGGGAGGCAGGGAGCAGCACCCAGCGGGTTATGGCATGGCCATCCCCATCTCCTGGGTGTGGGTGGACCCACTGGCTCTCACCCAGCTGCCGTGCTTCCAGATGGCACGTGGGGAACGGTGGCCTGAGGACACATGTGAGGCTGTGCCAGCCCTCCCTCATACCTGGGAAGTCCCTTCTGCCCCAGCCAGCTCGTAGCAAGGCACAGCAAACAGCGTGGGCTGCAAAAGGCAGCGCCTCTCCTTCCCACGGGCTTTGGTGCAAAAGGAAAAGGGAGACACTTCCATCACTAGCCCCAGCTACACAGATGCGCACGTGGGCAAAGGCTGGCCATGGAGTCGCTCTGCCCCCCTCAAAACGTGGCCTCTACGGAGTGAGGTGTAAAACCATTTTTAAAGACAAATCAATAAACACCCACGAACAGCATCCCTTCTTCGTTACAGGCACAACGTGCTTATCTCATGTCCTAGAGACAAACACTGTAAGCGAGTGCTCAAGCAGCCCCTGCCGTTCTTGCTCCCGTTGCACACTAGAGTGTGAAGCCTTTACCTCTTACCTCCAGCAACACTTTGGCCTGGATGCAATTTTCACCTGATGATTAAGTTTTGTATTTTGTTTTACTATTTTGGAGCTTGAGGCTTTTAAATTTTCCTGGGGATATTCTCGTTCTGATATTGCAGGAAGCACTGAGCTGAAGGTAATACCTGAGCACCCTCCTGCCAGGGATGCTTGCTGCTTTGCTCTGCAAAACCCCATCCTCTCTCCCTTCAACACATCCACACCTGGAGCACCAGCCCCCAGACAGCATCCAAGACAGTCCGCATCAAGACGAGGTACCCAGCACATGGTTGGATTGATCACATGGGCAGGAAAATCTTATCAGGATGCACCCGGGAGTTTTGCACCCATGACACGGTGCGCAGGATGTGACCACAGATATTCAGAGTTGAGAAGCTACTTGACTTGCTCACTCATGCAAAGGTAGGGGCAGGCTTTGGGAGACACAGCTGTAGTTTGGGCTTCCAAGGAGCAGATAATGTAGACGAGGTTGGACACTGCCCTGTATCCTGGGGGAAGAGAAGCCCCAGGGACCCGATGGGTCGGTTCATGTCAGCTCAGGTTAATGAACCACGGTGGCCCAGGAAGGCTCGCTGCCCTGTCAATTGATGCCAAAACACCCTGCAGAGACAGAGGGTCCTTCCCAGCTCTGGATCGTCCAGGGGTCACAGAGCTGCTCCTCACACACACTCTGTTGCAGCAGCCCTGCAAGCATGAAAGGGATGAACAGCGTGGGGCTGCTCCGTGCTAACTCCTAGACAGGTGTTTCAAACATCGAGATTTAGTCCCCAGGGAGAGGAAAGCAGCTTCCAGAAGGGACAGGTCACAGCTGGGCTAATCCAGAGCACGTGAGAGCCTGCCAGGGTCAGAGGGAATGGGCTGAGGACAGTGAAGGAGCTGGCACCTGCGCCCAGAGTTAAGCCAGGTCACCTCTTCTGCAGAGGAACGGGGTCTGTGGCTCAGGACACGAGGAGAGAGCCAAGATCTGCAACAAACAGCTTAACGTGGTGGTCTCACTGCACCTAAAAGGAAAACCATATTCCCAAGAGGGGCTCACACCGAGACTCACGGGATGTTAGAGACTCAGGAAGATGAGCCAGGGCTGGGACAGCCCAACCACTGGCTATGGGTGCTGAGGAGCAGGAGGGCACACAAAGCTGCTGCCTTCCTCCTCTCCCCACGTGGCCTTTTAGGTAGCGTCCTCACCAGGGCTTCGACTCGGCAAGCACTACACCACAGCTCGGAAAAAAGCAACGGATGCTGACTGAGGCAGGTGGGAGCGGAGGCTGGCTTGCAGTGGCTGGGGGCCAAACCAGCACCTAGCGCTGGTGTTACTGGGAGCCGCGGCTGAAGCCCTGCTAACTCGTCAGCAGGTCAAATGACAAGAGGGTTGTTTTTTGGTTTTTTTTTTTTCTTTTTTCTTAAAACAGACTAGCTTGGAGTTTGGCTCGGTGCGGCTGGCAGACAGGAGTGCAAAGAAAAATATTTCATGGCTAAAAAAATGGAGACAGAAAGACTGGTCCATCTGAACGCACACTGAATGAATCCCATGTGAAATGCATTCTAATGCCATCGCTACAGTTTCCTCTGGATTAGCTGAGCTATCCTTGGCTCCCGGCTCCATAAAATCCCATAAACAATCTGATCTGAACTTTTGCCCTTTCTGTGCTGATGTGAGGTTTCCTCCCCTGTCCCGTGGAGAGGGCTGGGGGTTAGCAGGTGGCTGTCCCTCCCGGAGGTGCCTGCAGATCCCGGCTGTCCTGCTCACCGGGGCTGCAGGAGGGAGCGTTCCCAAAGCTGTTCAATGCATCATTTAACGCGTGCACATGCGAGAGGAAGGAGAGGGAGGGGCAGGACAGCTTGCGAGGTCTGTAACATGCATAAGCATCTTCTGCCGGCTCTTTCAATACCCAGATTTTGCTTATGAGTTATGGGCTTGGTGTGGGAGTTTGTGGGTGAAACTCTATAGCCTGCCTTATGCAAGAGGTCAGATGGAGTGTACAGTTTTCAAAAGCATTCGCCTCTGAGTTTCAAACACGTTCGAGGCATGCCGGCTCCTAAATCCCACCGACTGCTGGGGAGATTTCAGGCTCCTGAGATGCTCTTCAACACAGGACTTGGTGCTTTTCAAAGCACCTTAACTGATGGTCATGGCTCCTGTAGGCAAATAACCACCTATGAAACCATCCAGCTGAAGATGTCTTGATGGCAGCTCCAAACCCACGCTACTGGGCTGCAACTCTTCTTGCACAGCTCCCATCAGAGCCAAATATCTGAGGGACGGGGGAAGAGGAGCTGCATATTCAGACCCTGGAATTGCTTCAGTAGCAGCCTTACTGTTTGCTCTGTAAAAGGTTAGCTAGACCCTTCCCAATCTCTTGACAGCAACCTTGAAAAACTACTCATGTCCTCAGCAAGTTGGTTGGTTGATGGCAAATAAAATATTGGTTTCTCATGCCAAATCTCTGCAGAGTGAAGTGGGGCAAGTAAAATGCCTGTTTGGCTGCTTGTCTCCATGGCAATGTGGCCAGGCTATACAGCAGCCATTGAAGTGCCCACTCTCCCTGATTAAGTTGACAAATGACATCAGCTAAGCAAGGTTCGCTGCAAGGGAGAGACAAGGAGTACTTTGTTTGCAATCCAGTAAGTGCAGGAAGGAGGCAGGCAGCTTCATTAACGCAAAGCAACATAAAACCATCTGCTGTTCCACCAGCGTAACAGACCCGTAGGCTTCAGAGCAAATGGCAGCGAGGTAGGGCTGAACAGATGAGCACGGCTCTTCCCCCACCCCACCTTCTTCACCTCCAT